ATGATTGTGGGAAAATTCTACTACCAGTCCTTCATCACCTTACACGAAATAGGGTGAATACATCTTATATAATTTTAATTTAAAAATACTTCTTCCCTGTGACCCAGTGTGGTGTGTTGGTAAATTGTTGGCAACATACTCTGCGCCACCACAATCAGGGGTGGGTTCGCGCTAGGGTTGCAGATGTCACAATTGCCGTTCAGCCTGAATGAGAATGCATTTTGGGAAGTAGAATCAAAGTAGATTATGGTTGTAGGAGAATCATCTATTCGCCCTCGTCACCTCATCCGGCCCAGAGTGACTGGAACTCGTATTGAAGGAGTCTAATCTTTACGAAATATATGAACTGTGCCAGCATAGAACAGTCTCAGTGAATGGAAACCATTGAGCCATCGAGAAGAGCTTACCCGATTCCTCAGGAATGGCTCGATAGCGAGGAGGCATCCAAGCTCTTAACGTCATGGCTTGACAGAGCGCCAGTCTGGTGTAAGCAGTCGACGCGTTCTCATTGTAGATTAGGACGAAGCCTTTCGGCAGCCCGAGGTTGTCACAGCTGCCGGGCTGGGCTGTTGTGCAGCCTGGCTCGCACGCCGTCTGTACGAGTTGGTTCTGGTTGTGGCTTTCGGTTGGCTCACTCGTCGACAAGGACGCCTCTCTCTTGGCGGAACAGAGCGGATTGGAGTGGGGCAAAGAAGTGGGCAAAATGATGTACTGGGCCAAAGCATTGTACTAGTTGCTATGACGGGTAGCTGTAGCAACAAACGGGGATATTTACATGCTGGGCTCAGGGAGGAGAAAGTAGATTTGTAGATGTCTGTTTGTTGGCGGTCGTGACCCTTTCTGACAAAAGGTTGCCTTAAAGGGGCTGAATAGTGGTGAAGGTGGTCAAGGATGAATGCTGTCCTCTTTTCGAGTGAAATTGTGTGTTCATGAGGAGATTCGAACATGGATCTCACCATAGGAGATAAAGGCGGATTCCTATTGGTCAGCTGTCAGTTGGCACTGTGAAAAAGTGCTAAACTTTCATACGTCATATGACCGACATCTTTAGAGCTGGTCAACATTCTTATCACCATATGCAAGCTAAGCCAAGAAAACTTACAAACTTATGCCTAAATATATACATTTTGCTGAGTCTTTAAATGAATTTATTGGGTAAAGTCATAATATTCAATCCGGAAACATGTGCGATTTAGGTGTCTTCATGTATGCGTATATGCAGGAAACCAGTTGTGACAATTTAAAGTAATTAGAACAGAATTTAACATATTAACATGGCATAATAAATTTGCTCAAAAGGCATCTACAACGAACACAAAACAAATAAGTCAGGGCGAATGGAAGAGTTCAAGTAAAGCTGAGCTACCCTTAAGATTTATTTCTGACTTTATCCCGAAAATGAGGGCTTAAAGAAACAATGAAATCCGGAAATGTTGCTGTGATTGAGAGCACTTGCACAAATGTCAGATATGATTTGAACGGTTTCCATTAAAATGAATTCCATCAAGTGCTAGATTAAAACAATGGTTCCCAAACATTTCCTAGTCCCGGCGCCCCACCCTAAATATGACTATTCGTAAGTAAGAGATAAGAATAAATAAAACTGGTGTATCTTCATTATTTTGTATACTTTATTGATATTACATTAATATTTAATAATTAATGTGATGGATGAGCCTGACAACCACTGCACATTTTCTCGAATTGAAGCTTTTACAATATTTCGCGGTGCACAGTTTGGGAATCACTGGCTTAAAACATAATTGGTGTACCCCTTAAATAATAATGAGTAGTATTGTAGCTGACTAGAATCAAATTTGTCTTCTGGAAAGGTGGGTTTTTTCGTCAACCTTTGCCGTCATCCTTGCTGGTTTAGCTATTAGCGAGCTGACAAATATTCATTATTTTTGTTAGAAGCAAGTTGCAAGAAATGAACGAGCCTTTAGTTTTTCTATACCTAATTCTTCTGTGATTTACCTCATCCTTTCTACTCCCCGTTATAACAGAATGTTGTCTTTAGATTATGGAGTAAAGTCACTATAAGATCTTGCATGTACGAAGAGTTGCAGGGCTTTGATGAATAGTTTGAAATAAACTTGTTGGAACTTTCATAGTGCAAAGTAAAGAGCTTAGTGAGTTGATCTCAACTGAAGACGACGCCTGATTCCCGT